CTCGTACGATGATTCCGACTATTTCATGTATAGTTTATTGCATTCGGGTTTGCTTCCAAATTTTACGTTTTGATCACATAAACACGTATAAAGGGGATAATTGCAACGTATTTGCAAAAGTGTATGTTACAGATGAGTTCATCAAGTCGATGAACTTAGCCTTTCTATAACCCCTCTGGTTTTAGAGCAACTAAAGAATCTCCAAGTGTCAAACATAGTTCGATGAGATCTACTCTTGCAAGCAGATACATGAAGAATCGTGATTGGATGCGCTACCTGAAGATAGCTAGACATGACTCATCGTCGGCATGAATTCTGTTATTCTAGGTAGTTAGAGATAACCTTCATCTTTCTAGATAAATATCTTCTCCTTGTTTATCTCATAGATATCCTATACTAGATTGTTATCTCTTAGACTAGATTGCTAGTATAAATAGCATTCATATGTCTTGTAAAATAGTTGATACCTTCTCATTATCATTATTATAGTGAAATTAGTTGAAAGCTTCATACGTTCTTGAATATTATTCAAGCTATTCATCATTTTCTTCATCCAAACGATAGATTTAGGTTCTTATACTAAAATCTTCATGTTAAATTGAAAGATCTGGAATCAAAAATAGGCCACTCAATTGTTTCAATTGATGTGATTACAGTTGCTAGATGTGTTTCTATGTTAGCCGATTACCCATTTCGGTTACTCAAACGTGTTGGAGACAGAATTGGACGGGATGTATGGTGAATTCGAAATTGATTGCTAATTTTTATCAGATTATGAATTACAGAAAGGAGTGAAAAGAGAGGTAAAATCTCTACAAACGTATTAGCTTCAGTGTTTATCTGGTATTTTTCTCAATGATTTTTCTAAGTGGAATTATTCGTTTGTACTGCTAAAGCTCAACCCATCTAGTCTTTGAAGACACATGATGCTTCTAATCTTCATGAGGGGGAGATATGATATAGAATATCAATATTCAAAGACATAGGAGATGATATTTTTAAGCAAGTGATCATATTGAGGGGGAGTTAAAATCAAGTTTGATTGTCTAGTAATGTGTTGAATGAGTTTATGGAAGAGCAAAATAGTATCTAAATCTTTTGAGTCTAAGGTTGAAAAGTCGTTGGATTCAAATATTGTAGATGTAGTGAAAAGGTTGGTGTTGAATTGTTTGGAATCATGGTTGATATGTTTGTGAAAGATTCATTGATTTACAAATCAAAGATGTTTGGAAAGCTTCTTGTTGAAGTTGATCTCTTTCATGGTAGATATAAAGGTGATAAGCTTAGTATACGTAGTATCAAAGCTGTAAGTCTAAATATCTAAAGCTTAACTGTGGAATCAAAAGGTGTATTCGAAGATCTACTATTTGTTTAAGTTCAAAAGAGAAAGCTTTTGAAGTTTATGAAGTCGTTTGATGTCAAAGTAAAGTTTCATTCTAAAAAAATTGTATTTGTTAATGTTTGTCTTTGGATACGTCTCGATTAAAGGTTGACAAAGTATTATCATCTTCATCAGGGGAGATTGTTAAGGTTGAAGAGAAGATAAAGAGCTATGATATAACGAGTTGTGATCGCAAATACAAAAGGGGAGATTATTAGGTCAAATATGTTGTATTAGAGATTACAAGTCTTGATTGTATGAAGGGATGAAGATTGGTCAAAGCTTAAAATCAAGATGTCAACAGAAGTCAACAAGAGAAGAGATCAGAAGATATTTTACTTGGTTTATTAGTCTAGTATAGATTCCTTGTATTGTTTTACTTTGTAAGTTTTCATTTTGTAAGATTTGTGAATTGTAGAGTGCAGAGAGAGAAACAAGCAACACTCTCATGTAAACTCTCTCTAGAATATCAATACAAATGACGGTTTCTCCTAATTATTTGTTAGATTACATCGTTACTTGTTCAAATCTAGGATTCACAACCAACTACACTTAGAACATGACGAAGAAACTATACTTCTTGAATCCATAACTCACATTTTGAGAACATAGCATACAATTTCTCTCTATTTAATATGGCCAAAATGACTCGTAAATGCTCCTTTTGAGTCTCGACTAAATGTGGACGTCATCTAAGAAAACTATTACAAATTCATCAAGATATGTACACACTTTATTCATCAAATCCATATGTTGTTGGTGCATTGGTCGGCCCAAAGAGCATCACCAAGAATTCATGACGACCATATTCTCCCATCTTAAATGTTGTTTTTGGGATATCTACCTCTAGTATTCAGCTCATGATACCTTGAACTCACATTGATCTTTGAAAAATATTTTGAGATGTAGTTGATTAAAAAGACCATCGATTCTAAGTAATAAATACTTATTCTATTCAATTCCCGATAATTAATGCATATTCGTGCCGTTCCATCTTTTTTAAACAAAATAAAATTGATATGAGAGTGCAAACAAATAAACAAAACCAAGACCATAAGCAAAAAGTCAATATGAACAACTACAATTTACACGAAGATCTTATATACTCTGTTCACTATCGCTTCCTGATTTTCTTACAAAAACACGCTACCCAAATAGCAAAATCCTCCAAGTTGCAAATTTTCAAATTTAAACAACACCACTGCTAGAGCGAGCAATCCGTTGAGCTTCTTCAAGGTCCTTCAGAAACCTGCACATTCCAAAATGTAAGATTAGGTTCATATCTAAAAGCTGAAGCCCGTGTCTGCATATGCAATTCTTTAGACCATCACTTTCGTTTTCACCTCATTTCTATAATTACAACACGCACACAAACACACATTACAAGAATCAACTTTAATATGCTCCCTCGATACCAAGTCTATGTCAACTTATCAAAGAGCCATTAGTCCAGCAGCATCCGGGATACTGGTAGAAGATATAGGCAGTCTCCCAGGAAGCCTTAAGTGTTCAAACCTCACCAAAGGTGAGGAGTGTCGGCTTCTGTATATAATTTATTATATACTTCAAAAAGAAAATATATGTCCAGTTTCAACAATCAACTTTGAGCAGGAGGAACATGTGTTAATCTACACGAAATGGGAAGTGAACACGTAAATTTGGAAATTAAAAGATGTTATAAAGCACGGTATCCTTTTATTCAAGCATGCTTATAAACACATTTTTAAGGACATGCATAGGTTTGGACAACACATATGGTTCAATTTTGTTTCTCAGATTGTTCAAAACATGGTAAAACAACAGCACAGAATTATTTAGTTTCATCATCACAAGTCAAATCCTTATTCAATAAAGAAGATGCTCTCTTCTGTATGCCAACTTTTCATCACAATTAGAGGGAACAACACAGTGGTAACCTGCTAACCTTTTAGAATTAAGAAGATAGGAACCTCCAAGTATAAAACGAATGCCAGAATGCAATGCATTTTGTAGAGCAACCGAACGTGATTCCTCATACGTCGTCCCACCAACGATAAAGATCACCACTTCTTGTGGCCTGTGATCATTAAAAAAAAATTTGGGAGTTGAAATACATTTTTATGTCCTATTTGATAGCACTAATAAATTCTTGGAAATAAATTTAGTTCATCAATGTTTGCTTTAAACACAGCAATAAAATTTCACCCCTCCCCCCCCCCCCCCCCCCCCCACACAGCAGAATACAGCTATACAAGGAAAAGTGCAAGGGTGGGGGGGGATTACAGATTGTACTAAATTAGATTGTGGGGACCTCCAAGACATCCCAAAGCAGCACAATAAGGCTGTAAGGCCAAAAGAAATATGCAACAGCAGGCTACAGGAACCAAATGCACTTGTGTGTGTCTGAGCAAAGATGTGTTAGTTTGTGTACATAGTCTAGATGTTTGATATTAAGTTAACCTAATTCGATCCTCCAATCCAAATCCGCTGAAAATCCCAAAACTCAAACATAGCAGATGAAAAACAGGAGCTCCATATTCATCAAGCTAGGAAGGGAAAACTGCTCACAACTGATATTGGGTCCACACAGACCCTCCTTTGCTTTTCCAAGCAGATAGGATCTCTTCCGGCTTCTCATACAGCAGCATTAAATGCAATTTTCTGATTGCCAGTAACTTCATGATTCCAAACATAAAAATATTTTTCAATTTTATTTAATTTCGAAGGAAGCAACAAATAATTCAACATTTCCAATATTGCACATAAGGTAAACAAAAGATTAGGTCCTAATAACATGGACAATACAGTCAAAACTGCAAATAAGGTACAATATAGAGGACAGACCTGCCCTGCTGAAAGTGATTCCCAACAAAGGGGTAATCCACATCTCTCAACCTTCCCTTAGCAATGCTCTCCATTGTTTGGAAAAGAAGAGGTTGATGCTGAGTGTACACATTCTCAACCCCCTAATAAGACCATGAACAAAAAACTTAAGCACCACATAACAAAGGTCCAAGAAAATTTGAAGTTACAGTTTCATGCAAACCTTCAGTCCACGAGCCATGTTACGGGCAATATTCAAGATATCCCTGTTACCATACAGATCTCCAGTTCGTCTATCAACCCCTGCTTGCTTTAGAAGGAATTGTACAAGCTGTCATTTGAATAAGATGGACTTGATCAGCTAGCTGTATTCCATATACAAATTATATAGGTACAACTTTGCAGCTAAGTCAACTTTCTCAGGTTTATATGCCCTGTGGCCTGTCATCGGAAGGGCGTCTTTTACCAATATCAAAAAACAAAGGACATCATATAATAAAATCCAAGGAGGAATAAAAATCCCCCTTGTGGCCATGGAGGTTCAAATGCGGTGATTCCGGGCTATCTGCAAAGCAGGTGGTCGCCCTGGGATTAGTCGGCTCGCATAGCGGGTTGGATATCCAGGTTAATCAAAAAAAAAAAAAAAACAAAGGACATCATATAATAACAATAGTATAAATCATTTAGTATATTCCACCCTGCTAAATGTATTGACTGCAAATCCCATAGACAGAAAAAACCATACTGGCTTATTTGTAGTTAATAGTAACAAAACGCCATGGTACATTGTAATTGAAGTATAAAATAGTGCACTTACCCCTGGCTTGTACTTGGGAGACTGAGAAGCCAGTTTATTGAAAAGCTGCATCAATTGAACAGGGCTCTCTTTCTCATACCGCAAAGCGTACAACATAACAAGGCGTAGTCTATCAATGTCGGAGACACTTTCATTGTTCAAAAGATTTGTGACAGCCTAAAGAACAATCACAAAGAGGTCATGTTAATAGTCTCAACTCTCAACTAAAAAAACTTCAATGTCACTTCTTCCAAATGTAATGGATGCTCTAGACACCTACACAAGAAAGAACTTGACATATTTTAAAAAAACTAAGCAGGAAAGGTTACCTACCACAACAATCCTTATTTTAGAATTTTTCTTGTTCAATGTTATTAAATAGTAATCATGTCATGCCTGGTGCATGGCATTGTGTATTTTAGGTCTGGCACATGTCCTCACATGTAGTGGTGTAATTGAGTAGGAAGGGTAAAGAACCATTTGCAACAATCCCGAATTGACATAACATGAGGGCATGGTGCTACCCTTCTTGGTCTTTATGCTTGGCAAATAAGAGGAGGAGAAGAAAAAGGGAAAAGAAGAGCAACCTGAAACTAATTAACAGAGACTGCTACATAACTTGTTTTGATATTTTAGGACTACTCAGAATCTGATTGGCATCTAATATTCCATTTTTCACAGAATCTAATATAAATCGTTTGATACTTATCATGCACAACCTCGTCAAAAACCATATCTTTCTCACAGAATCTGATTGGCAACTAATATTCCAGTTTTTAGGACTACTTGGAAGACACCACCTTATATAGTTAATCATATATCGATATAAAACCCCCTAAATTATGAGACAATTAAAATCCAGGTTGCTTCTTTTCTTATAGAGAACAATTATTTGACATCCTAATGACATTTTAACCCGAGATTAACCCTGAATTATCCCTCATAAAACTTTCATTTTAATCAATTTTGTTTACAGCATTACCCAAACTTGAACCTTCAGCAGTTCCCATCTAATGAACCACATTTGACTTGGTTTCTGACCCACATGCAACTCTCAACTATGAGCAGGAAGTAGGGATGGAAACAGAGCAGGTATTGGGCGGGCAACTCATTCCTCGTCCCCAACCCTGCCCCGACTAGTCCCCGATGGGTTCGGAAGGAAGGAATTCCCGGCGGGTTCGGGGAACCTGTTTGGTACCCATTTAGTAAAAAACTATATTAAAATCGTAACTACATTAATTACCAATATTGAAAATCAAATATATTTAAACACAAGGGTGGTGTCTGATTGGTTTGAGCTTGGGCTCCAAAGGTCAAAAGTGCTTGGAGGTCTCAGGTTCAAATCCAAGGAGAAATAAAAATCCCCTTGTGGCCATGAAGGTTCAAATGCTGTGACTTTGGGCTACGAGCAAAGCAGGTGGTCGCCCTGGGATTAGTCGGCTCGCATAGCGGGTTGGATATCCAGATTAATAAAAAAAATCAAATGTATTTATCATTTAATAATAAATGCATACATATATACATATTTATTTCTTTATACACCCACTACACACATATATTTAATAAACTAAAATTTCCAATCAGTGTCGGATTAGAGGAGGGTAATGCCATCCCCGACCCCGCTTCGGGTATAAAAATGTCCGTCCCAATAGGGTAAAATTTCCATCTCTAGCAGGAAGCTATATAGTCATACAAGTGACACAGACCAAACTTCTAAACAATTTTCTTATTCTACATACATCTCGTTTCCAGATATACAATTATGCATTTCTTTTTGCATAGAGCTTCTAAAGGTTATCTAGTTCTATTCAGCAACAGGCATTTATTCCAACCAAGTTGCAGTAGGCGAATATTTAAAGCAGTTGTAATTAATAAACCTGATGTCAGGTTTACTTAGGCTAGGAGAGCTAAAGAAAGGGTAGAGTTCATTACTTGTACGAATAGTATTATGAATGAAGGCTGTTGGCATGTAAAAAGATGTTGGGAAATTATAGGTTTTTCTTCATGTTATGTTAGCATGTTAGCATATATTAGGGAAAAGGGAGGGGCTATGTTCTAGATTCGTGAAATGGCTTATGACTTGGAGAGCTTCAGCCTCTCCTAGAGCTGGAAATCCCTGTAAGCATTTAACAGAAAGTATACAGAAATGTTCTAACAGACCATTGTACAACAGTTGAGTTAAGAAACAAGATAGAAAACAATCATGAAGGAGCAGAATAGAAGATGAAACTATTGGTTTAAAAAAAGATTAAACTGTTGGTTTCAAAAAAAAAGAAAAAATAAGATGAAACTGTCGGCCTGATTTGATTAAAAAAAACAAAATGAATATAACTAGTAATTCGAGATGTTAGGGTCCCTCAAACAAATGCCCAATATCTGCCTACCCTACTCATCCCACTCCCTTTTATTTATCCTAGGCTCATCTATCCTTACAATTTTCCCAATTTACCCCTACGCAACAGAATTGTTAACAGCCTAACATCGCAACTTGATCCCCTTCCGAATCCGTTGACCTTGATTTTTCTTTCTTCTATAAGTGAATAGAATAGGTGGGCATGTAAAATTACCTCACCCCCAAAGAACCACCTTGTCCTCAAGTTAGAAATCAGGGAAAGCATGTTGCATCTTAGCCAAGTCTTCCCATGTAGACTCGAATTCCAGCAAGTCTTCCCATTTCAACAAGACTTCTATCCATTGCCCCATATCAGTGTCTGTCGTCTGAACTCCAAAAAGAGACTCTAATTCAACTTCTAATTCCAATTCTTCAATGAGTTTAGGAGGTAAAGATGGGATCGATAACTATTCTCCAATGGCCTTCTTTAGTTGGGAGACGCGGAACACAGCGTGTATTTGAGTAGTAATAGGAACCTGAAGCTGAATGGCAACCACACCGATACATTGGATAATTTGGAATGGCCCATAGAAACGAGCAGCAAGTTTCTGGAATAGGCGTTGACACATGGATCTTTACCAATAGGCTTGTGATGTACACTGAAAGAAATAGAATGGAATTGCAAAAGAAATCTAACGATTAATGGGGAAATCGAATGGTTACAGTTAGGTTTATGGCTTTCGAGAGGTCAGAATCTCTCCACAGGACTCACGTCCAAAGGGTTACAAAACAGAATACCTTCTCCTAGACCCTCCTACACCTATTTATACCAGACAAATGCATTACCAACTTGTACTCTTAATGCAATAACTACTTGTACCCTATTAGTATAAGGTATAACACGTTGAAGCTTAAGATATACCTAGGACCCAACTTCAAATTCAACTGCCTTGCAGGACTTATCGGCCATAACCTTCATTTTCTGTTGGGCACGTAATAAGTGAGCTCGAAGTTCGTCTAAAATGGCATTCCTTTCCAGCAGCCAGTCCTCAAGACATTTAACAGAGCGCACTTTGCAGACTAATGATATCTTGTGTTTTGCCAAAACTCAGCCTATGGCAGCCACTGTAGCCATTTGCGAGGCTGCCCTGAATGAAGCAGCAAAGGTACATTTTCACAGATTTATTGACAATTTCGTGCTGACCATCCGTTCGGGGGTGATAAGTCGTGCTACAACAAAGTGGAGCCTTGGAGTCTAAATAACTCTCGCCAAAATGTGCTCATGAAAACCTTATGTCGAAGGAAACCCATGGAGTCATTTGATGAACACAGCTGCCACTGAGGATGCATTAAAAGGGTGTTTTAGCTCCAAAAAATGGGCATAGTTCGTCAGCTTGTCAACTACGACCAGCACCGTTTCGAAACCATTAGAACAAGGACGACTTATGAAATCCATTGAGACATCATCACATACTTGAGAGGGCTGGGGTAACGGCTATAAGAGACCAAGAAGGTGTTTGGTTGGCAGATTGATCAAGCTTGCACATACTCCTGAATGGCCCTTTGCATGCCTACCGAAAACCACTCTGAAGCCAATCGTTAAGTCTTAAACTCCTACGTTCAATTATCTTGAGCAAACAAGTAATTAGTTTATCATAATCCAAGTCAAATTTAGACGAATGGGTGTCTGTAGCAGAAGTATTTACGGGTTCTCCAGGAAGCTCGTGAGCTTGGTCTTACTTCACTGTCGAGAAATGGAAGATTCATTCATCAAAAGAAAAGTCCCTTTCTGAAGCAAGAATTGGTTTTCTATTTGGATCTTTCAAGCATCTAAATGGAATTGCTAATTATATATCTCGATTCATTAGAAATTGGACAGGTAGGAAATTTCTTGTTGAGTTACGTGTCTGCTTGACCTTTTCTAAGTGGAGCCAGAATAAAGTGCCCATAAAAAAGACGTTTACTGTCTGCTGCTGATTCAACACACTACCACTGTAGTGTACGCCCGAATGACCCCCAACCACCAAGTCATGATTCTCGTGAAAAATCATGGGAATTAACAATGTAGTGTGGGGAATTACTAACTTCCCTTGTCTAATAGGCGACCTCGTTCTACCTTGTATCCGACATGGATCTTGCCATGGACTTCAATAGCCTGCTTCACCCTTTGGAAAGAGTCGGCCTCTATTTCTTTCATTAATCCATTCGTAGGTATTGACGAGACAATTGACCCAAATCGAGTTCGAATGTAAATTCCCTTGACAAGGCATTAGACACCCGATTTTTAGCCCCGAATTTATATTGGATTTCAAAATCAAATCCCAGCCGCTTGTACATCCATTTTTGGTAATCCATTCCTACTTTACTCTGTTCTATTAGGTGCCTTAAGCTTCTTTGATCGGTACTAAAAGCTTTAGAGGTGCAGTAACAAAAGTATTTAATGTCGTATCTTGAGTTACAACATAAGAGAACATATATACAATTGAGGAGGATGAGAGAGACTACAACTCCTAACATTATGGGACAAAGACTAATCTATAGAAGTTCCCTTATCAGGGTCTATCTACAACTATCAACTAATCCATATTCACAGATTATTCTACACTCCCCCTCAAGCTAAATGGTATACGTTATACAATCCAAACTTGACTTTTAACGTGTTAAAATGTGGCAAATTAGTGCTTTAGTGAAGATGCCGGCCACTTGTTGAGTAGTAGAAATGTAGGAGACTTTCAGGATCCCCTTGTCAATCTTCTCCTTTATGAAAAACAACGATCCACCTCAACATGTTTTGTTCGATCATGAACTAGATCATGTTTCATAGTGATAGCAGCTTTATTGTCAC